ATCACTGATAGCACTGCCACGACTCTAGATCACATCTGGACCAACATAACCTCTCCGCTTACTTCAGGTATAATCACCGATAGCACTACAGACCACTACCCCACATTTCTCTTAACTAACATTAGCAAACCACCTCTAGAAACAAGGGAGTTAAGCTTTAGGCTGCACAATGAAACTGCTATAAACAATTTTATAACTGCTGCTGATAATGTCAACTGGGAGTCCGAGTTAGGTAACATAGAGGACATCAACCTAGCTGTGCAATCTTTTCTACAAACAACTCTTAGCCTTTATAACACCCACTGTCCTAGGCTTACAAAACAAGTCACAAGCAAAAGGCTTAACAATCCTTGGCTTACAAAGGGAATACTGAAATCCATTAACAAAAAACACGACCTTGAGAAGAAGTATAGGTTAGGAATTGTCTCCAAAGAATTCTCAAAGAATTACTCATTATTGCTATCTAAGATAATTAGACGAGCCAAAACTAAATACTACGAAGATAAATTTACTCAAATAAAGAGCAACATTAAACAAACTTGGAGCACAATTTCACAAATATTGGGATCAAAGAAATCTTTAAATAACAAACCGACTCTCCTGTCTAATAACGATGGTCAGCTTTCAGCCTCTGATTCTGCTATTGAGTTCAATAGGTTCTTCTCTTCCATTGGTTCATCCCTTGCAAATGATATTCCATCTTCCAGTACTGACATTAAGGACTATCTTACAGGTAACTATCCACAGTCTCTGTACCTAAAGCCTATTAACTCCACTGACGTCAATGAGATAATCCTTTCCCTTAAAACCAAGTCTGGTGCCCTTGAGGAGATACCAACTTTAATTTACAAAAAAGCCTCCAGATCTTTAGCCCCTGCTATTGCTTTGCTCTTCAACAAGTCACTTGAACTCCAAACCTTTCCAGGTATTCTAAAAAAAGCGAGAGTAACGCCTGTCCACAAATGTGGTGACCCCACAGATGTTAACAACTACAGACCTATATCAATCCTGCCAAACTTGTCAAAAATTTTTGAAAAACTTATATATAAGCAGCTTTACTCATATCTAGCCAAACTCAATATACTTAGCCCTTGCCAATATGGCTTCAGACCCAAAAAAAGCACTAACGATGCACTTATTAGTATGCTTAACTCGATTCATACAGCTCTTGATAAAAAGGAGTTCCCTGTTGGGTTATTTGTGGACCTGCGTAAAGCTTTTGATACTGTCAACCACCATAACCTTCTTCTTAAATTACATCATTATGGAGTCAGAGGACACTCCCTACAATACCTCGAGTCCTACCTTACTGACAGGCTCCAATATGTTTCTGTGAATAATACAATTTCTCCCACCCTACCCATCAACATTGGTGTTCCTCAGGGCAGCATACTTGGCCCTCTCCTCTTTCTCATCTACATTAATGACCTTCCAAATGCCTCCCAACACCTCAAACCAATTCTATTTGCTGACGACACAACCTTCATTTACTCCAGTCCTGACCCTCTTGCTCTAAATGCCACAGTAAATACTGAGCTAAATAAAGTCCATCTTTGGCTAACTGCCAACAAACTCACCCTTAACATTGATAAAACTTTCTATATTCTGTTTGGCAATAAATCCTCTAGTCATATAAATCTCAAAATAAACAATACCCAAATTTGTAACAAATTAGATGGCAAATTCCTTGGCATTCTCATTGACCACAAGCTGAATTTCCAGGGACACATTCTAAATATATCAAAAAAAGTTTAAAAAACTGTGGGCATTCTTTCTAAGATCAGATATTATGTACCACGCCCTGCCCTGGTGACTCTCTATTACTCCCTTATCTATCCTTATCTCAACTATGGTATTTGTGCTTGGGGTTCTACTACCCAAAATCACTTACGTCCTCTAATTACCCAACACAAAGCCGCTATTAGAACAATATCCAACTCTGGCCCCAGACATCACTCGGTACCCCTACTCAAATCTCTGAATATGTTAGATATTAAGTCTCTGCACATTCTCTCATGTGTATTATACATATATAAAACGCTAAACTATAATGCCAATCCTGATCTTAAAAGCTTCATAGAAGGTTGTAACAGAACCCATGAGCATCACACCAGAAATAAATACAGTTTTGATATTCCTAGAGTACGTCTTAATCAAACTAGAAATGCTCTGCAAATCAAGGGGCCCAGAATGTGGAATGACCTTCCCAACCATGATAAAGACTGTACCTCTCTCAACCAGTTTAAGATAAAAACTAAACACTACCTAATAAATTCCCTGTAATCTACCTCACTCCTCTATTGTCAACCCATGTCTGTTATTTCTTTTTTTTAATCAACACTGTTTGTCAACCTATTGTATTTGTGCTGCTTTTTCAGTCATGTTCCCCCTTTTTTTTTATCTTTATTTGTATTTGTTCTCAACACTTTTTATTCTTTATGCTCAATTAGTATTAAGTTCTAGATATTAATGTTTTTCTTGCCCGAAACGCATTGCGTAATAGTGGCTTTAGGCATTGTATGTACTAGCTCTATCTATATATCAATCCATTAATGTAACATCACTTTTATGTATATACCTTACCTGAATAAACATCTGAATCTGAATCTGAATCTGAATCTCTCTTGAAAGAGATTATCGTCACAATGTACTTTACCTGAATAAACATTTTAATTTGATATTTTGATTCCTTGTCTAGAAATAGGCCAAGAAACTTTCCATCATTTTTATTACTAATGTTAACATTGTCTATCTGAAGCTGAAGTGCGTTTGTAGATTTGCTTCCAAATAAGATGTAGTAGGTCTTTATATGTTAAATGTTAGTTTGTTGGTTGACATCCATAAGTAGACTTTTTTTTAGTTCATTATTAACAACATTATTTAGTGTATGTGGGTTGGGGTTAGAGTAGATGAGGGTAGTATCATCAGCAAACAATATAGGTTTTAAACAATGCATAAATAAAATAAATAAATAAATAAATAAATATATACAAGAATGTACATTGGGAATGTGAGGATACATAATATAGTAATTACAGTCTTGTAAAGCCACTAGTACGCGCAGCGTTTCGGGCAGGTCCTTAATCTAAGAAAATTTTAAGGAGGTAAATACTTGCAAAATTTATAAACAAAAAAATGATAACAGATTACATGGAATGAAAAAAAGAGGATGAGAGAAAATTGTAGGTACAGTATATTAAAGCACATAGGTAGCTAAGATTGATTAATGCAATGACAGCTTGAATGGTAGTTGACAAAAATTGGTAGGCACAATACAGCAGAAACAAATTGAGGAGATTCCAACGATCAACGTGGAGCAGGACCAGGTGAGACTAGTCTGAGAAGAGACCCTTAAGGAATCTAACTCGACCTTGCTCCCAGGCCCTGTACGGTTGCTCTCGTATTTTCTATTCTGCAAATTCCAACAGCTTCGTGAAGCGTCTGCCACATGTACATTGGCGACGTACGCATTGCAGTCGTGAAAGCAAAAAAGGAAACCCCCACACTAACTCTCGGATTACAGACATTTGGTCATCATGTATCTGAGTTAATAATTTGAGCCATGGGTTATCAGCGAAACGCTCTAAGTCGGAACATAGGGAGGTAGCTCGTTTAAGTTGCTCCATATAGTTACATAAGTATTGTATAACCCCCAAGTCGGTGACGACGCTCCACTCAGCTGGGATGATTTGTTATTGTTGTCGCAGGGAGAGTTGGTCCCCCTCCCCGGCAGCCACTAAGGGGGAGACAGCCGTATTATTCCTGTTGCTAGCTTGGCTGGTTGGGTTCATCCTGATGGTGTGCTATCTTTCTTAGCGGCCTTACCGAGCTAAGGTTTATTTTGCATGGTAGCAGGATAAATGTAGGCAGGCAAATAATAATAATAATAATAATAATAATAATAATAATAATAATAATAATAATTTATTTAGGAACAGTACATACATAGTTGCAGAGTTACAGTACAAACATTCTGTTAGATTTAAAGATAGAGGTAGTACATACAATACCTAAAGCCACTAGTACGCATAGCGTTTCGGGCAAGGAGAGGGGAAAAACACTTAAACTAAAACTTAATAGTAATTGAGCTTAAAGTATAAATTTTGTTGAATGAAAACAAAAAATATATAATAAAAAAGGGGGGAACATGGTAGAAAATAGCCAATATACAAGTTGGTCAACAAACAGCATTTTTTTTTTAAATAGTAAGACATAGGTTGACATTTAGAAGCAAGGTAGGTTACATGGAGTTAATTAGGTAGTACTTAGTTTTCATCTTAAACTGGTTGAGAGAGGAACAGTCTTTGACATAATTGGGAAGGTCATTCCATAGGGGGTAAATGGCTTAGGTACATATATTGGGGGGATTGGGTAGAACTAGATACAGTGCGAGTTTAAAGCACTAGGTAGTGTAAGACAGGAAACAGGAAATGTTTTTTCACTCATAGGGCTATAAACTGTGCAATTGCCTACCCGCTGAAGACGTAAATGCCAAAGTGGACCCCATATCAATCTTGTGGGCGGTACTGCTAGGTAATCAGCCCCATTAGGTGATTGCAAATAAGCCCAACAATTTTTGTCCCGCCAGCTTCCTGTCTCCGTAGAACCACTACCGTGATAATGACTCCTCAGGTAAGTTTCAGTAAATTCTAATTCAGCCGAATATATCCCAGTTTACCCACCGTCGCAGATCAAAGAAAACGTGACCATAGCCACGGGAGAGGAAGCGCCCGACGCCATCACAACAAGCGTCACCGGGAAGTTCTCCATATTACTCTGGTTTAACCTCGACTACGAGCAAACACCCGGACCCCCCTGCTGTTCCTGGGGCCTGCAGGAACACGTTCCATAGTTCCTGACCACCGGGGCTCGGTACAGTTGTTAGGCGTTCCTATATAGCGGTCCGGGTCGTTAGGGCGCCTGGCGCATGTCTCGCTTGACAGGCGGAAGTGGATAGATTTTTTTGTTTTTCCATTTACCGTTTGGTTCTTCGGGCGTAGAGACTGTTTCCGGCGCCAGCTTGGCGGAGAGGTGCCGGGAGTTGGTGCGTCTTTATGGGCTCCTGGATATTGATCTGCCGGAGATCACTGGAAGACGTTTTAGCAAGATTGGGCTCGAGTTCAGGAGCAACCAGCATGATTCTCCCATAAGTTTGTTGACCCAGAGTTTACAGGACGTCTGACACGTTGTCTGGGGTCCCTGGGTGCCTATAGTCTTCCTGCTGCTTCTCTTTGTCAGGTGATGTCTGTCCCTTGCCTCTCCGGTGGATACCAGAGACTCGCTAAATGTATGCTAAAAAATGTGTTTACTTTCCCCAAGACACAGTACTTTTTCACAGACGGGGAACTTGTAAACTGTCTCGAGGCTTTGGGGATTACCCTACAAGCGAACACTAGGACACATCTGTCGTTTTGTCATTGTGGCCCTAAATCAACAACAACATTATATCCAGGCCTAATATCCTTCTTCAGCAGTGTTCTCTCTCCAGGAGACGCCTCAAGTGACGAGACAACTCCAGCAGTCATCAGGAGACAACATTTGTGGCACCAAGCATAAAGTAACGCCGTTTTAATTATATCCAGCGGCAGTCATGTGTCTCCAGGAAATGCCCGAAGTCCTAAGACAACTAATGCAGTTATCGGAAGAAGATGACCTTTACACAAACTGCACAGTCGCGAGGAAGATGAAAACCCACGAATGTGCAGAATGTGGGAGAGCATTCGCCACTTCAGGACAAGTAAAGACTCACATGTTAGTGCACACAGGTGAAAAGCCTCATGAATGTCCAGTGTGTGGGAAAAAATTCCGTCATAGTGGAACTGTGAAGTCTCACATGTTGGTGCATACGGATGAAAAGCCTCATGGATGTCTAGTGTGTGGGAAAAGATTCCGTCAATTTTCATGCTTGAAGAATCACATAACTGTACATTCGGATGACATGCCTCATGAGTGTCCAGAGTGTGGGAAAAGATTTAGACGTGTTAGAGGTATGAAGGCTCACATGCAGGTGCATTCTGATCATAGGCCTTTTGAGTGCGCTGAATGTGGGAGAAAATTCAGAGAACGTGGAGTTATGATAAAACACATGCAGATGCATTCGGGTGATAGACCTCATGAGTGTCCAGAGTGTGGGAAAAGATTTAGTCGTCTAGGCACTATGAAGTCTCACAGAATGGTGCATATGGGTGACAAGCCTCAGGAGTGTCCCGAGCTTGCGAATAGGTTCAGTCTTCGAGATGTGAAGACAGAGAGGATGGTGCTTAAGGGTGATCAGCCTTATGAGTGTACAGATTGTGGAAAAAGATTCAGTCGTTTTTCAAATCTGAGGACTCACATGTTGATACATACGAGTGACAGGCCTTATGAATGCCCTGAATGTGGGACAGGATTCAATAATCCTACAACTCTTAAGAGGCATAGTGTCATGCATACTGGCGACAAGCGTTACGAGTGTACAGTGTGTGGCAAAACATTTGGTCGTCTTGACACGTTGAAGAATCACAGGTTAGTACATTCTGGTGATAAGCCTTATGAATGTCCTGATTGTGGGAAAACATTTAGTCGTCTTGACACGATGAAGTCTCACAGGTTAGTACATTCTGGTGATAAGCCTTATGAATGTCCAGATTGTGGGAAAAGATTTAAGCACATTAGACATATGAAAAGGCACTTGTTATTGCATTCAGATATTAAACCTCACATTGCCTAGTGTCCTGTCTTGAGGAAAAAGACCTTATTAATTTATTAATTAATTTAATTTGAAAATTTGATTATTCAATAAATTATGTTAATCCCTGGTGTACAGCTATTATAAAAGGTGTCGACTGCCTATGCAAAAAGAAAAAAATTAGAACAAACTTCTTATAAACTATACATTTGCATGCAAATCTTGGAAGGTAATTAAAAATGTAAATAATTAAGTTTTATGTTTTGAATGCAATGGGAGGTTCTGTGTGGGGTAAGTCATTAGGTCCATGAACTCTTGTAGAGAGAATTTTGCTGACTCTTTGTGTAGGGGGTAAGCACTGTGATCAAGTTAGATGGATTACATGTTTGGTATTTTGCTTTAGCCTCACAGTGTGTGGAATAGCATGATTTATTTGCATGTAATTGACAGAAATGTGATAAGTATTGTACATAGGCCTACAGTGTAATATGTACACCTGTATTGTATGTAAATCTGTTCCTGGCATAGCTCAAAGGAAATTCTTTGCAACCCACTCCACCCAACCACTTGGACTGGTCAGTTCAGCATCAATCTTGCTTCTTGCTGGTCGGCGTTCTAACCCTGACCATGTAAGTGGTTGGGCACATTCCTTCCCCTCTGTTGTATCTTGGGTCCTTGTCTTCCTGTGCCTTGCAAGTGCTATATGGCTATAGTGGCTTGGTACTTTCTCCTGATAATTACCTTACCTTGCTACCCACCCCTTTACAGCTACAGTCTGATAATATCCTCCAGAAAAATATTGTAACACTGATGGTCAGCCAATTTGTTATTTAACGATAACATCAAACCACTAGTGCATGATACGTAGCCTCACTACATACTGTACAGGAGTAAGAAATTAAAAATGATAGCAGATTTTTTTCATGGAGCCATTTTAATTCCATTACAGCAATATTATAACCATATTTACAGTATTTCTATAAAATCTGAGTGATAATGGTTACAATCATTGTCTGATGATAACCATCACCACTAGGAGCGGCATACTGTAATAACTGCACTTCAAGGGTTACATTGGAATGGCACTAGATTGTGTTTGTTAGATAAGTCTTGCAAATATAATCTAATTTGTTAGTATTGGATGTGATGCATATAAAAATATTAACTTCACAATAAATCAATGTGGAATTTAGAAATTGTGAGCTTGTTGAGAATGTCATGCTGTCACCTTATCAGTTGGACGTCTACAAAGACCTATCTCTGTTTGCATAGTTTAGTGTTTTACAACTCATAATTAATCTGTTCTTTTGTAAAAGTAAGATGCACATCAGACCAAGTAAATGTCAGGGAAAGCTTTTTCCATATTTTAAAAATTCCTTTTCTGGGGGGAGCCTCTGCGGCTTTCCGGAGTTATCCAGGCTGTTATGATTACCCCTAACTTTGGCATCAATCGATGTGGATGGAGTTCTAGGCCTACCAGGGACCACCAGCCAGAACCTGGCCCCCTCAGAGGCATGAGGAGCAATGGCCTATAGAAATGCACATGTGATTTGGCGCATTCCTGTATCTGCCATTGACTGGGACAGGCACCCAGAAAGGTAAGCGCCCCAAAACAAACCCCTATTCTTGTTAAAATTGACGAAAATGGACAAACAAGTGGACAGAACTCTCCAAATGAAAACGAGCAAATAAGCATGATGTCACACGAGTCGCGCCACATGTCTGTGCAGCTCCCCCCCTCCCAGGGAGGGGAAAGGGGAAGCCCCAGACCCCTGCGCCGGTATTCCACACCCCAGTTCCTCGGCTGATGTGAGGCATCGCTGTCGTGTGGCTCCAGTTCCAGACTCATGTGTTGTGCTGTGCCTTGGTTTAGTACTGATCTTAAGGTGGCGTGGGAGCTGGGAGTAGTATTCTTAAGTACTTGGGGTTCATGCACTTTGGGTTCCCTTCCCTAAGTGCCCTGTAAGTACTGCCCTTGGGGCTTGGGGTTATCTTCCACAAGTCGCCTTGGGTCTACCTCAGTTGGTCTTTTGCTGCTTGGCAATTGACCGCCCCGAGTGTTTTGGGGGGTTTCTGCCCTTGTTTGCTTTGGGGTAAGTGGTAGTTTTTGCACTGGTAGGGGCACGGGGGTGCTGTACAGATAGTTTTCACCTATATCAGCGGCCGGCTCTGTTCGTTCTGGGTACGCTGTCCTCTTGCAAGGTTTTTCTTTTATTTTTGTTTTTCGCCTGGTAGAGGAGCCTGCCTTGGTTCTCCCTGTTATATTAGGGTTTGCTGTTTGGTGGTACCTCCTGCTTCGCCCTCGTGAGTACTCACCTAATTGTGCTTGCGGGGGTTGAGCTTTGTCTCTTTGGTCCCGCCTCTCAACTGTCAAACAACTGGTGTACAGATTCCTGAGCCTACTGGGCTCTATCATATCTACATTTGAAACTGTGTATGGAGTCAGCCTCCACCACATCATTTCCTAGTGCATTCCATTTATTAACTACTCTGACACTGAAAAAATTCTTTCTAACATCTCTGTGGCTCATCTGGGTACTAAGTTTCCACCTGTGAGACCTTGTTCGTGTCCCACCCGTGCTGAAGAGTTTGTCTTTGTCCACCCTGCCAATACCCCTGAGAATTTTGTAGGTTGTTATCATGTCTCCCCTTACTCTTCTGTTTTCCCCGGCATGTGAGGTTCAGCTCCTTAGCCTTTCCTCGTAGCTCATTCCTTTCAGTTCCGGGACGAGCCTGGTGGCATACCGATGAATCTTCTCTTTATCTTGTGTTTAACTAGGTATGGGAGCCGGTTGGCTGATCGGACAGCACGCTGGACTTGTGATCCTGTGGTCCCGGGTTCGATCCCGGGCGCCGGCGAAAAACAATGGGCAGAGTTTCTTTCACCCTATGCCCCTGTTACCTAGCAGTAAAATAGGTACCTGGGTGTTAGTCAGCTGTCACAGGCTGCTTCCTGGGGGTGGAGGCCTGGTCGAGGACAGGGCCGCGGGGACACTAAAGCCCCGAAATCATTTCAAGATAACCTCAAGATATGGACTCCAGGCTGGAGCTGCATACTCCAGGATTGGTCTTACATAAGCGGTATACAGGGTCCTGAATGATTCCTTACACAAGTTTCTAAAGGCTGTTCTTATGTTGGCCAGTTCTAGCATATGCCGCTGATGATATTCTTTTGATGTGGGCCTCTGGGGACAGGTTCGGTGTGATATCAACCCCCCAAATCTTTCTCTCTATTTGACTCTTGCAGGATTTCACCTCCCAGATGATACCTTGTGTTCAGCCTCCTGCTCCCTTCGCCTAATTTTATTACCTTACACTTTCCTGAGTTGAACTTTAGCAGTCATTTTCTAGACCATTCCTTCAGTTTGTCCAGGTCATCCTGTAGTCTCTGTCTATCTTCATCCGTCTTGATTCTTCTCATAATTTTTGCATCATCAGCGAACATTGAGAGGAACGAGTCTATACCCTCCGGAAGATCGTTTACATATATTAGAAACAGGATGGGTCAAAGTACTGAGCCCTGTGGGACTCCGCTGGTGCCATCTCGCCACTTTGATGTCTCCCCCTCACCATTACTCGCTGTTTCTTGTTGCTTAAGTACTCCCTCGTCCACTGGAGCACCTTTCCTTTTACTCCTGCCTGTTGCTCCAACTTTTTTAACAGCCTTTTATGGGGTACTGTGTCAAAGGCTTTCTGGCAGTCCAGGAAAATGCAGACGGCCCACCAACTGGGCTGACGTGCCCACTCACTTCCCGCCGGGACATGAGTGGACACATCCCGGCGGTTCAGCATTAGCAGTTTGTTTGGGAGCTTTGGGCGCCTGGTTAGCAGTACCCTGCCTGGGATTACCCTTAGACCCAGTCTAGGGGCCTTTGGAAACCTCGCGGGGGTGCTCGGGTCCGATGGATGTGACCCCAGAGTCCCCTCTCGCTTTGTGTGAGTTTGAGGGTTGCTCTGTTCCCTTGTCTCAGGGCGACACTCATTGTTTTTGCCTCCGTCATGCTGCTTGTTGGGTCGGTGACACCTTCGACCCAGAGTCCTGCGAGCTTTTGTTGCTTATTTGTGACTCAATTCACCCATTCTACTGATGACGTTATTCGGGTGCAGGTGGCTTGCGTGTTGCAGAATAGGTTTAGGTTGTTGCAACGTGCTAGGTTGGTGCTTCCCGGGGCATTTGGTGCTTCCCGGATGCCCCGAGGCTGCCCCTGTTTTGCTTATAGGCACCCGGATTTTGGGGTGTTGGTCGCGTCGGCCTTGGTTCAGTCTGCGCCTCCTCATTCTTCCCCGCCTGTGGTTCATTTGGTTCTCCCCCCCCCCCCCCCTGTTGCTGGCTCCTAAGCGTCTGAGGGCTTCGGGGAGCGCACAGGGTTTAGAGGTTTCTTCTGAGACTTGAACAGTTTCGGAGGTTGCCCCTTCCGGGGTGGTGATGGAGGCATTCAAGTCTGTTCCTCCAGCCGTAGCTTTGGGGTCTGACCAGTGGGACCACTCTCTTCCTGCTCTTTTGGCCAGCCCAGCTTTTTCTTCTCTGTATTTGGAGGACGACTCGCACCCCAGGGCCTGACTTGGAGGTTCCTGGGTTTTTGGAAGGAGCTGACTTGGGGGGCCTTGAGCCCTGTTGGACCCCATCTGGGTTCGACCCCCCCCAATGTGGGGGGTCTGGGGCTCCCCCCATTCCCCTCCCTGGGAGGGGGGGGAGCTGCACAGACATGCGGCACAGCTCATGATACATCATGCTTGTATGCTCGTTTTCATTTGGAGAGTTCTGTCCACTCGTTTGTCTATTTCTGTCATTTTTAACCAGAATAAGGGTTTGTTTTGGGGTGCTTACCTTTCTGGG